TCGTTACGTTGTTTCCTCATTATTACCAGCGAGTACGAAGTAGCGTCATTATCGTAGTATCGTAGTTTTAACCCTATTATCAATGTATCATCTTCAAATGAAATTTCCACTTGAAGTAGAATGGAAAATTTCGTTGCATTTCTTACGAATTGTCGATAGTAAATTGGTACATAGTGGCGAAAGTAAATAGTACGCCAAGGGGTTAATTATATAATACGGATGAAGATTCTTTGGAATATCTGAAAGCTTTAGCGAAGCTGAATTATATATCGATTGAATAGTGGAAGAGGGAGCGTATTTACTGATCTCTTGCTGAATAATTAAATCAGTTTGCGATTTAGTATTCTAAATCTGAAAATTTCGTCTCTCCGAAATGGAACACGGAAATTGAGAAAATGCTTCTGAAATTGTTGTGCATATTCGGAAGCTATAATTATGTATTATTGTTGTAATATTTACAATTAACGCGTTATGCTAGGTTACTTCTGTGAATTTCTTTCTCCTTGTCTATACTACAGTATTTTTTAAGTCAACTCGAAACACTTCCGGTCCGTTAAGGGTTAACACGTTGAATACCACAGTTGCAGACGAAACGAACGAAGCATAACATCGAGTTGCAGAATAAATTTTCGAATTCGAGAAGCATCGTTTCCGCGGAAGATCGAGCTTCTTCCATTTTTCAATGAGGAACGCGCCGCTCGGAGGGGACGTCGTCGAGTAACCCAGTTTCCCCTCCCGCCCCCTCTTTCTCTTTCTTTCATTCCGGGTCCCTTTCCTTGATTTTTTTTTACTTTCCTCGAGTGGTCCGTCCTCCAATTTACTTCTCCTCGTCGACTTCCAGTGTTCTTCGCGGACCCTCGTCGCGTCGTAGGTGCTCGTTAATTCTGGTTGTTTAATGCGGCGGCCGGGCAGGGCCAAGATCGTCGAGATACGCGGAGATTTAATTATACTCGCGTCTGAAACGCCAGCTCGAGAGATCCGTCAGCCGTCATCTCTGATACAGTCCACGCCTCGAATAATTTCGTTGATATCTCTTCGATCGATTCGCCGATGTCTGATCATGCTCTATGCCGATCGGTACAACTCTCATTAACCCCTTGACGTACTATTTACTTTCGCCATTATGCTCGTGTACCATTTTATTATCGACAATTTATAATCTATTGTTACAATTTTTATAGCTTAAAAGCGTTCAATAATTGAAATGATCTTGAAAATAAATAGCTTCACTTGAATACTGTAATGATGTTTGAAGAAACCGAAAATAATTTATTGTTACAATTTTTATAGCTTAAACGCATTGAATATCTGAAATGAACTTGGAAATTTGAACTTTTATAGGGATTACATATTAATCGTATTAAATGCTCGGTAGTTCTAGCGTTACGAAGCGTATCAGAGAATCCAAGACCCATTCACCAACAATTAAAACCGACAGTCACAGTTAAATGTAACACCAGTCTTCTCTGTACCTCCGTAAAACGTCTCCGAATTGATGAAATCGATAAAAATGCCAGCCAAAGGGATCCGCGTTGTTCGGCGAAGAAAGGGGAAGAGGGGAAAGAGTAGAAGAAATAGAATCGAGAGGAATTCGCAGGTGCCGAAGGATCCTCAGGCTCCGCTCGGTATCGTCGCGGAACGCCGAGCGGTGCACCCGATGTATTCTTATCACGCCCGAGAGATCAAGGGCTCGCAGATCGAACGGCCTTCGCGTTCTGCCACCCTTCAACCCTCTCCGTGTCCGCTTGGCAACCCCATAAGCGGAAGAGAACAGGGCGCAAAGAAGGAGAGGAGAGAGCGCGCGTCCGGCGACTTTCGTGACATTCGTGCTCCGTCGGACGCAAAGTAACCGGCCTTGTGAACGCAAAGAGAGAGACAAAAGGAGATCCGGCGCACGTGACCGGCACAAAGCCGCCGGCCAACGTCCGTCAACGGATCACACGCGTGCGGACAACGAGGATCGTATTTTTATCTAGGGTTAGAGAAAGGGTAGGGAGAAATACCAAGGACGGGGGAAACGGCGTGACTCGATTTCCACCGGGTGATCGCCGATCGATTCGCGGGGATTCGATTCCTGGCTGTCTCCGTGCGAGTGTTGTATCGATAATGTGGTGTTAATGGTATTTAACCGGTTAACATTCGCGAGGTGAAATCATCGCTTGATTTCACGCGAAACTGTAAAATCTGATATTTAACGCTAGGTTTTCGGGACGCGTCAAATTGACGCATATTGGATTTTAGAAATATTTTGTAAATGTTCACGCCGATTTTGATTGATCACACTGACATGAACCTCAATTACCTACTATCGAATCTCCAGTTTCCACAGTCTAAATAAACGAGCATCGATTCTTTTAGGAATAATAGAATGAAGTGTAGAATAAATGTCCGTAAATCTAGTGTTAATGATTGCTCCACTGTCTTATATCTCGTATATCCAACAAAATTCGGTTCGTTCGATGCGTCACGAAAGAAATCAATGTCCACGTTTCTGTAAAATGTCACCCGAATTCGGGTGACGTGCAGTCAAAGTGTTAACGAGTATACTCTTCGTTATTTGATTTTGCACAATGAGAGATTTTTCCAACTAAATTCCACACTCAACCGGTTAACACGTTAAGCGGCACGAAAATCTTAAGCGTCTTCCCATAGAGTTTGTCTTTCGTAGCGAAGAAAAGTAGGAATAATTATGAATCGTTTGGCGTTGCAACGTTCGCGTTACACTATTATCAACTTGCCTTATTAAACATTTTCATTTCACATCGGTTGTCTCGTATGTTACGATTGTTTTTTAGTCATTCAGAAGCGTCAGCCGCTAGTGACCGACATGGCGCTTAACCGGTTAATAAACGATAGTTGCAAGGGTGAATCGCTGAACGAGAGCGTCGATTATCGATCCTCGATTCTCCAAGGGGTATCGGCGTTCCCCGGGCAAAAGGCGGAGGCGCGAGGGGAGGGCTGGAGGTCGCGTATACAGAAAGGAAACAGGAAATCGTCCTCGAAATGACTCGGCCATCGACAAATCCAATTTTATCGCGGTCCTTGGTGGATTACCCACGGGGAAAACTCGTCGGGGGAGCTCGTTGGGAAATTCGATTTCGCGGTAATGATTATACCCCGGCATTGGCTGTCGTTACCGCGGAACTTTCGCGATAAAGCTCGCGGGGATCGCCGGGAGACCGGCGACGCGCGGTTGCGCCGTCGATCACGCACGGACTCCGATCCCCTGTCACCGTTGATGCTCGCGTGCGTCGTTGATCGACGAACCTTTTCCCTTTTATATACTTTTACCTCGAGCCGGACGGATTTGGAACTCGATTCGTTACCGGAATGGCTAGCCAGCCCCTTATGGAACGACGAGCGAGACTCGCGATGAAGAAATCTGGAATCGTTTAACGAAACTCAATGCTGTTCATTGCTCGAACAAGAAGCTATTTTGGTGTTGGCAATTTATTATTTTTAAATGAGATTCCTGGTGAAAGTAGAATGGAGGATTTGGTTGTGGTTTGAAGATTGTCGATAGTAAATGGTACGGCAAGTTAAGTTGATCGATTTTGAAGAGTTGATTAATTTTGATATTAACCCTTTGCACTCGAGAATACTTTTCTCAACGAATACTCGTTATTTCCTGATGAAATATCAATATGTTTTACAACTAACATAAAGAAATTTGTTTATTGCGAGTAGATGCTGAGTTTAACGGCGGAAGAATGTAATTTTGCGAGATGAAAGTTTCATGTTTGGAATACCAAGTTGCAGATGAACGATTTAATTATTGATATAGGAAATCGGTACAAGATTTCCTTATTCTCTGTGATTGGAGTATGTAACGTCTAATTTAGCAGAATCTGAAGGCTTCGTATACTTTAAAATGTCGGAAACGGTAAAGTAATGTTTCTTGTTATTATAGGACAATGGGTTAATTAGGTAAATCATCTAAGATCGTTGAATTTATATTCCGTCGATTGTGCATTCCTCGATCGAATATAATTTCATGGCCACGTGCATCGAATCGTCGTTAGACGGAGTTCCCCAGGGATTCAACCGAGGCGGAAACAATTTACGACAAATGAGGCTTCGTATAACATTCATAAATACAGGAATAAGAGGTAAACAAACAACCGGTCGACGAATATAATTGAGAACAATATCTCGTAACGACGAGAACGCTCTCGACGGCACAGAAGCATCTATTAAAAGGCAGGGCGCACAGACTATGGAAAACATTCTATAAATATTGTATTATACAAGCTCAATCAATATTTAATCGTTCGTGTTATTAAGGAAGATAATAACGGGTCGTGCAGAAGAGAAGTTACCGTATGCCGGTTAGTCAATTTAATCTTAACACTAGATTTACGGAATCGTCGATTTAACGAGCGTATCGAATTTCTTAAACATTATTTAGCTACAGTTTAAGTTAATTTTCATTCATGCTGTTATGCAGATACTCGTAACACTCTGGTTTTCAAGCTATAATCTTCGTAATCTAAACACGTAGCTTTCTAGAATAAACATCCTTAAATCCTCTGTCAACACTAAACCTACGCAATTAAATTGACTTTCTCAAATTCCTCTATAGCAATTCTATCAAAATTTCAATTGATTTACAATTCAGTTCGCGTCTAAATCAATTTCTTCGTAATTTCTTAGAGAAACGTCTACTTAATATATAATTAATAGATAGTTAATAGAGACGCTATTAAATTGACTTTCTCTAATTTCTCTATAGCAATTCTATCAAAATTTCAATTGATTTACAATTCAGTTCGCGTCTAAATCTATTTCTTCATAATTTCTTAGAGAAATATCTACTTAATATATAATTAACAGATAGTTAATAGATAATTTCTCAGAGAAACATTGTCTTTTTAATAATTGCAACAAGAAGAAATCAGGAACAGCTTGTTTCGATTCAACTAATAAGTTTAGCGTTAATTATCTAATATTCCTGACCAAAGGATCGTTGCTTAAACAATCGTGTGTTTGGTGTGTTTCAGACTTCCAGAAACTCGAGCGTGAGGCGCGGATATGCAGAAAGCTGCAGCACCCAAATATCGGTGAGTAATCGTCGGCCTGCCCGACTAATTAACGGTTACAAATGACATTGTTAAGAGTTCTGTAACGCGCGGCCAGAGTAGATGTTCTACGACGCGGTAACAAATGGCACACGTGTTGCGTTGGCTGCAGCAGCCGGGGTAGCTAGTAGATACGCTCGATTTTGGTCGGACACGCAGTCGCGTTTAATGGAAACCGACCCTGGGACTCGGCTCGTTTCAAACATTGTCCGCGAGTGCACGGAATTCTCTGGAGTCTTTTATTCGCTGAGAAACAGAGCCCGAAAATCGACGCGGAAGATTGAATGAAATTTCGTAGAGGACTCGAGACGCGCAATTTTTCGTTGAAATCAACTGAAAATGATTCTTTTTACACGGTGCTTTTAATTTATTTACCTTACGAACCGAGGATTCTATATTTACAAATACAAACATCGATCGGTTAACGCTACAGATGAAATCGAAGATTCATAGAGTAACATTTCCACTTTCATTCCTTCGAACTATGGAAGCACGAGCTCAACATCATAGTTCACGACCTTTCTACATAGATTATTTCAATCCCTTAATTTCTGTATCATCTACATTCATATCAGTTGCAAAACATGTTAACCCTCTGCACTCAGAAGTTTCTTGCTACAAATATTTAACCCTTTTTCACTCGTCGAAGACTTTTGTTTTCGAAGCCCCGTTCGAAACTAATTTAACGATAATTCACAGATAAATCAAGGAACAAATCTATTTTATTTAAACATTTCACATAGCAACACAAGCTTCAATTCAAAATACTAAATACTCAACTTCACAGTTCCGTTGTATCAAATCAAGCGACTAAGAGTCACCTCTCGAAAAGGGTTAACATCCCATTACAAAACACCAACTGAATCTAACAAGAAACCTCTCAATCGCGTGAACTTCCATTTATTTCAAAATCTCGATCGAAATCCTCCCTCCGAATGGTCCCGTCCACCGTACGGAAAATGTAGATACAGAGAGAAGTAAAACGTAGAAGAAAACCGAACGTAGGAGAGGGCGAAGGTCTCGAGTGGGCGGCACGAAGCCGGACAAGTGTAAAGAGGCGAATTCGCGGCGGCCGTCCCGCCAGCCTATTTCCATCGTCGCGTTTATTCACTTTCCTTGCTTTATTGGATTCCAATATCGCCCACTGGTTATTTCCTCGCTTATAATTTCCATCGTTAGCCCGGTCGCCGCGGCGACGTCGCTCGGGTCGATAGAGCGAGCCTTTCCACGTGCCCTTTGCCACGAGCGCGGGCGTATATATATATATATATATACACACACATATACATACATGCATATGTATATAAATATATACACATATATATTTCGTATATATATATATATATATATATCCAGGAGCCACAAAAGCGGCCCTTTTGAACGGTTCAGTAGCCGCTCGCGATAGAAACCAGCTGGCCAATTTCATAGCCGGCGAAGGGAACAAGGGAGAGCCGGGGTCGACGGAACGTGAACCGAAACTGTTTGCCGCGCGACAAAAGAAGAACGGAAAATGGAAGTTTCGAGGTCCGCGACACGTATTCTCGATCCGGCTTTCAGTTTCTCGGTCGGTTTTTATTCTCGGGATGACGTGCGCGCGGCTGGCTCGGTGACTGTCAGCTATCGCCGGTTTGTTTCAAGGGAAATCGGGCTTAACGCTAGAACTACCGGGCGTAATTCGTCATTTCTTCTTTGTGATCGCTGCGAGGGTACGGGTGGTTTGAGAAATGATTAGAGATGATTTAGTGATAAACTGAAGTGCGAGCTAATTGGAATTTTAACCCTTTGCATTCGGAAGTATTTAACGTTTTCTAACTAGACAGGCGATATGCTTTTAAATTAACTCAAAGAGAAATTGCAAGTGAATTGAGAAACAGCTTTTTATCCCAATATTTCACCGATGCATTATATACAGTTGAATATTGAGTATCTAATTTTATAGTTTTACTACATGAAATCAAGTGGTGACTGAGAGTCAAGTTTAAGTGCTTGGCAATTCTAGTGTTAACGAGTTCTAGGTGTATTTAACAATGTTTAGTCGAATTGTTTGTCTCGTGGAATTGACATATACTTGTGATCGGATTGTAGGGTTAGTGCATTCGGTATCGATAGCCTGAGGTTCGATATAGTGGAAAGTTCGGTGAATTTACTCGGTAATTATTTACAGCTTCATAATATTCCATAACAATTCAGCCCTCAATCCTCCATAGTTCTAAACCGTCTAGTCTAAACGGTGACCGATAAAAAGGATAAAACAATTCATACAATCAGCGTTTATCATTTCACTTAATCTCCCACTATTTTCCAAGATCTCTTCCGTCAATCCCTGGAAACCTAAAATTTTCCACAGAAGGATTCGTACCCCTGAGCAGGGAGAATAGAGACAAGCCCGAGGAATCTTCTTTTTCGCTGGAGTCGGCGTCCTAAGAACAATACGCCTGCGTCGTATTTTTCAGCGGGTAGTTTTAAGAGCGTCCTGAAAGTGTATAGTTATAGTCGGGGTTGCGGCGTGCATATGTCAGATTTATAGTAGCCATAAACGCGGCCCCGGGGCCGACGTGTGTCGCGGAACTTTCGCGGTTCTGCTCCGGGACGAAGAAGTTCTCGTAGCCGGTCGCGGGACGCTCCAGAACGCTCGGATCGTATAGCTTCCGTGGCGTGAAGGCATAAACCGAGAATATACGATCCCCGGCGCGGCCGTGTTCCGCGGCGTATGCTAATTTCCCGTCAGGCTTCAGGAATTCCGCGGAAATGAGCGGAATTTTCCCTTTATTGATCTTCGGGAACTTGTAACGGAAAGATTAATGAACCATTCTTTCCCCGTTTTTCGTTGCCCGCGAATTTTACGCGTCGTCGACGTTTAAAATTTCGCTGTTCAACGGACTCGGAGCTTCTTTCACCGTCCCCCGACGTTCCCTTTGCTTTCTCGACCCCGGTACTCTCCGAAATTCAATCGCTTTGCGTTCGGGAACAGTCGAGCGATTTTATTCATAGATCTCGATTCGTAGAAACTACGGAGAGCAGTTGGAAATTTCGATCTCCGTCGGGTCTCAAAATTTCGAGTTTCAATTACATTTCAGAGATTGGGGGAAAGAAAATTTCTTTGTCCACTATTTCATTATATTCTTTACCAAAGTTCAAGAGCTTCGATGGCAGTCGTACGAATTGAAACGTCCGCGATACTTCGAAGTATCGAAAATATTCGAGTTTAGGCGGCTTCTTTCGAAACTGCGGACTGTACAGGGCGTGTTTGGTGGATCGTGAAAGGTAAACGGCGCAGAAACGTGGATCGGCACGCAACGAAAGAGGGCCGGGACAAATGGTAACGGAGCCAATCGTCTGTGTGTAATTCGACGTTCGGTAATTCCCTGGTTAATTACCCGTGCCGGGCTCGTGCCTGTGCAGATAATCAGGCTCGGCAGGGCAGAGGAGGCGCACCTGGGCTCGTCTATAGCTGCAGGTGCGACCCCTGACCCGTTTCACGATGCGTCTGCTCGCGAACGTTCGGCTTTCGGTGATCATTGGGTCGAGGAGCTTACGGCGAATTATTCACGCTGGCCTGGCCGTTATCTGAGGGCTCTTATGATAAACTGGGGGCAGTTTTGATGGTCAAGTTCATCGTCGGTCTCGTTCCAACGAATGGAACTCTGTCCAGGGGAGGTTTCTAACGTCAGAAATGAATTATGGAATGTATAAGGTTCCACGTTGGTTTCATTTACAATCGAAGAGTTTGGAGTGTGAAGTTTGTACGTTGATGAACGTCAAGTGTCTAAAGGGATGTTGGAGATAATAGAAGGAAGTCGAAAGATGTTAGGAAAAAGGATTCAAATCGAAACCTTTGTATAAGTGGATCCTACAAATTGAAGTCTAAGAATATAATTAGAGAAACAGAATTCCGATAGAAGATGGTTTTCTCTAATAAATATTCCAAAAATCTCTATAACTTCAATGTTTTATATATATCTTCGCATTGCTCGCATTCAGTGCACCTTCAAACTCTTCAGAAATGTATCAAAATTCACAGTCTATGAATTACTATGTTCGTTCGTTCGTTTCTGCTTTATAATTGAAGCGGCAGAAAGCCCCGACTTTTACTTTCGGGAACAAGGTTGAGAGCCCCTGGCGAACGATATTACGAGCGGCGCTCGCGTTTGCTAATTTCTCAAAGGCTCCGCGGCCACTTAAGCAGTCCGGCCGCCATGAGCAACCCATTAAATCACCGTTCAGATGATTTCAATTAATCCGAGGCTGCCCTGGGACCGGAACTGCTCCCCGGGGACCAGTCGATTCGGCAACCTGCCGGGACCTACTTACGCGCTCGTCCGTTTCGCCGGCTCGCGTGCCCAACGATATTCGCGGCGAATTAGATGTACACGCGATCTCCCCGTCTTCCCTGAACAGTATCGTCCGCTGGAGAACACGTAAATCGGAAGGCAATTCGCCCCTAAGTGCGGCTCGAGCGTGTTCACCTGGATCCGGGACAGTTTTACCGAACCCGCACGCGCGATTATCGTCGTTATTAGGTTAATGCGATCGGCGAGAGAATCGTTTGCATGAATATCAGAGATAGAGGGCAATATCACGCTATCTGTCCCTTCGCGAACGAACGCCGACGTTTCGAGATTAAATTTTCGCGAACAAATCATCAGATCACTCGAACAACAGTGGTTTTACTTTCTTCTATTACTCAAGCAATCGATATAATTTAGCTTCATCCGCTTGTTTCGTATATTTCAAAGAATCTTCAAAGTTTTACGAGTAAAAGTATATTATATTGTACTGTATATTATTATTATATTATATATTATAAGTATATTGTCTCACGGTAACGTCTGAAATGAGTTTTATCTTACGATACCCCAAATCCCACATTCATAGAACGAAAAGCGAAGCAGATGCGCGGAACAACGTTCGCCACTCATTTAATGTCATTCTCCCCCGTTTCCTTTCAATTAAACTGTTCGATGTCGACGCACAGGAGTCTT